GGCATCGTGCTGCACTACTCCACGCTGTCCACCATGCTGTGGATCGGAGTGACCGCCAGGAACATCTTCAAGCAGGTGACCAGGAAGGCCCCACCGTGCGCGGATGCGGACCAGCCTCCGTTCCCCAGGCAGCCGCTTCTCAGGTACGGGGACCACTCTGTGCGCGGCCCACCCGCCAGGGGGCCAGGGTGACGCTGGCACATCCTCCGTTTCCTGGCAAGCTCCTCAGAGGGCAGCTGGGACCTGAGGAGGACCCGATCCAAGAGGGCCACAGGGGCAGGGTGGTGACCTGGGGACAGGGTGGTGACCTGGGGGCAGGGTGGTGACCTGGGGCAGGATGGTGTCTAGATGGTGTACTGGAGACAGGGTGGGGACAGGGTGATGTCCTGGGGACAGGGTAGGGACAGGGTGATATCCTGGGGACAGGGTGGGGACAGGGTGATGTCCTGGAGACAGGGTGGGGCCAGGATGAAGACCTGGAGACAGGGCGGGGACAGGGTGATGACCTGGGGACAGGGTGGGGCAGGGTGATGTCCTGGAGACAGGGTGGGGCCAGGGTGATGTCCTGGGGACATGGTGGGGCAGGGTGATGTCCTGGAGACAGGGTGGGGCCAGGGTGATGTCCTGGGGACAGGGTGGGGCAGGGTGATGTCCTGGAGACAGGGTGGGGACAGGGTGATATCCTGGAGACAGGGTGGGGACAGGGTGTGGGGACAGGGTGATGTCCTGTGGACAGGGTGGGGACAGGGTGATGTCCTGGAGACAGGGTGGGGCAGGGTGATGTCCTGGAGACAGGGTGGGGACAGGGTGATGTCCTGTGGACAGGGTGGGGACAGGGTGATGTCCTGGAGACAGGGTGGGGACAGGGTGATGTCCTGGAGACAGGGTGGGGACAGGGTGATGTCCTGTGGACAGGGTGGGGACAGGGTGATGTCCTGTGGACAGGGTGGGGACAGGGTGATGTCCTGGAGACAGGGTAGGGACAGGGTGATGTCCTGGAGACAGGGTGGGGCAGGGTGATGTCCTGGGGACAGGGTGATGTCCTGGGGACAGGGTGGGGACAGGGTGATATCCTGGAGACAGGGTGGGGACAGGGTGATGTCCTAGGGACAGGGTGGGGACAGGGTGATGTCCTGGGGACAGGGTGGGGCAGGGTGATGTCCTGGGGACAGGGTGATGTCCTGGAGACAGGGTGGGGCAGGGTGATGTCCTGGGGACAGGGCAGGGACAGGGTGATATCCTGGGGACAGGGTGGGGACAGGGTGATGTCCAGGGGACAAGATGGGGGCAGGGTGATGTCCTGGGGACAGGGTGGGGACAGGGTGACGTCCTGGGGACAGGGCGGGGACAGGGTGACGTCCTGGGGACAGGGTGATGTCCTGGGGACAGGGTGGGGACAGGGTGATGTCCTGGGGACAGGGTGATATCCTGGGGACAGGGTGGGGACAGGGTGATGTCCTGGGGACAGGGCGGGGACAGGATGATGTCCTGGGGACAGGATGGGGACAGGGTGATGTCCAGGGGACAGGATGGGGGCAGGGTGATATCCAGGGGACAGGGTGGGGACAGGGTGATATCCTGGGGACAGGGCGGGGACAGGGTGATGTCCTGGGGACAGGGTGATGTCCAGGGGACAGGATGGGGGCAGGGTGATGTCCTGGGGACAGGGTGGGGCAGGGTGATGTCCTGGGGACAGAGTGGGGACAGGGTGATGTCCTGGGGACAGGGCAGGGACAGGGTGACGTCCTGGGGACAGGGCGGGGCCAGGGTCATGTCCTGGGGACAGGGTGATGTCCTGGGGACAGGGTGGGGACAGGGTGATGTCCTGGGGACAGGGTGATGTCCTGGGGACAGGGTGGGGACAGGGTGGTGTCCTGGGGACAAGGTGATGTCTTGGGGACAGGGTGGGGCAGGGTGATGTCCTGGGGACAGGGTGGGGACAGGGTGATGTCCTGAGGACAGGGTGGGGACAGGGTGATGTCCTGGGGACAAGGTGATGTCCTGGGGACAGGGCGGGGCCAGGGTGATGTCCTGGGGACAGGGTGGGGACAGGGTGATGTCCTGTGGACAGGGTGGGGACAGGGTGATGTCCTGGGGACAGGGTGATGTCCTGGGGACAGGGTGGGGCAGGGTGATTTCCTGGGGACAGGGCGGGGCCAGGGTGATGTCCTGGGGACAGGGTGATGTCCTGGGGACAGGGTGGGGAAAGGGTGATGTCCTGGGGACAAGGTGATGTCCTGGGGACAGGGCAGGGCCAGGGTGATGTCCTGGGGACAGGGCAGGGCCAGGGTGATGTCCTGGGGACAAGGTGATGTCCTGGGGACAGGGCGGGGACAGGGTGATGTCCTGGGGACAGGGTGATGTCCTGGGGACAGGGTGGGGACAGGGTGATGTCCTGGGGACAGGGTGGGGACAGGGTGATGTCCTGGGGACAGGGCGGGGACAGGGTGATGTCCTGGAGACAGGGTGATGTCCTGGGGACAGGGTGGGGCAGGGTGATGTCCTGGGGACAGGGTGGGGCAGGGTGATGTCCTGGGGACAGGGCGGGGACAGGGTGACGTCCTGGGGACAGGGTGATGTCCTGGGGACAGGGTGGTGTCCTGGGGACAGGGTGGGGACAGGGTGACGTCCTGGGGACAGGGCGGGGACAGGGTGATGACCTGGGGATAGGGCGGGGCCGTGGTGACGTCCTGGGGACAGGGTGGGGTCCTGGTTTGTGCTGGGGACAGGATGGTGGCAGGACATCCGGGCAGCATCCGTGGCTGGGCCTTTATGTGCTAGCAGCCACGTGTGTGCCTTGTGCTGGACGTGCCCGCAGTGCCATTGAGTTACTGTCGTGAGACCCCTGCTCCCCCGCCCAGGGCCATGCGTGGAGGCGGCCCATGTGGCCTTGGCCCCAGTGTCCGTGGTGGCCTCACTGACATTGGGCACCTGCTCCTGAGCTGGTAGGGAACCATGGAGCACTTGGGCGCCAACTTCAGAACTCATTTCGAGGTAGCAAAAGCAACATCCTGTGTCCCATGAATGAGGCCAGTCCCTGACGAGAGTTTTTGCCACTGTTTGAATTGGGGTCTGGGCAGACCTGTTGCCACTTAGCGACCAGGGCTGGCGTGGGCTGTGCTCTCGGGGGCCCGGTGGTGGGATTCCCATTCTTGCCCGAGGTCCCTGGGTCGAGAGTCACTCACAGGGTGCGTTTCCCGTCTGTAGTGGACCGCAGAGCTGTGGGCCACAGGGTCTGTGCTCCACCGTGACAGAGCGGGTCCGGGTGCTGTGGCCAGTGGGCCGGGCTCAGTGGTGCAGAGCAGCCGACTCGGTGGACCACGGGGTCCACTTGTTTACCGTGGTGCTCTGGGGACACTCACTGTTCCTCTCGGTGCTGCCTGGAGACCACGGTCGCCCTCCCCGACCCGGGACCCTCCTCTGGTGTAGAAAGGCCCACGCTACAGCCTGCCCGGGGGCTCCCAGCTCTCCCTGTGCACCGGCGGCCAGCCAGGTCCTGGCCTCCCCCATCCTGCGCCCTGGCTTGTCCACCTGCCAGACGCTCCACGAAACCACGGGAGGGCGCCAGAACCCTGCAGTGGCTGTCTCCAGCGGCAGGGCCCCGGCAGAGGCATCCAGCGGGCCCCGCCAAGGGGCAGGGCCCAGGCGAGCGAGCGGATGCACAGACCACAGGGAACGTGGAGCGTGGTCCCAGGGAAAGGCCGGTGAAGGCCACAAACGTCCCAGGGACAAAGTGGCAGGTCACGTGCCTCAGGAGGGCACGCCCACTGGGGCTCAGTGTGACCCTCACTGGCCTCAGCGTCTGCAGACACGCCAGCAAGACCACGTGGGGTTGGAGACCACGTTACGTGCCGCAGGTCGCAGTGCTAAACCGTCCGCTCCTCTGTGATTTTCAGAGCCCGAGTCTCGACCTCCTGCGTCAAATGTTCGTCCCCAAGTGTTTTATTCTTCTTGCTGGGATTGTGTTCTCAGTTTTCTTTGTGGATTCTGTATTGCTCGTGTATAGAAATACAACTGGTTTGGGCGTCGATCTTGTCCTGCAACAAGGACAAGGACTTTGCTAACTGCCTTCTGTTAGCTCTGATCGGCTCTCCGTTAACTCTTTCGGATTTTCTGTACATACATGACAATCTCGCCGTCTGCACGGGGATGGTTTTGCTTCTTCCGTCCCAATCTGGATGGCTTGAACTTCTTCTTCTTGCCTAGTTTTGCCAGCTAGAGCACCCAATGCAATGTTACTCTTCTCATTTTCTTGGTCTAGTGAAAGGTTTACCAATGTTGTTGATTTTTATTTATTTGTATTTTGGAGAGTCGCTCTGTCACCCAGGCCACAGTGAGTGGCGTGTGGCTGTCCCACACACTCCGTGACCTGCAACAACGCACACGCAGCACCTCACCATGTGGACGCTAGAAATCCAGCGTCAGGGGCCAGGCGCGGTGGCTCACACCTGTAATCCTAGCACTCCAGGAGGCCAAGGTGGGCGGATTGGTTGAGGTCAGGAGTTCGAAACCAGCCTGAGCAAGAGCGAGACCCCGTCTCTACTATAAATAGAAAGAAATTAATTGGCCAACT